ACCTCTAGACGACAACACACGTCGACTACTAAATGAAAAGCACCCACCCGCCCAAGAGGCACCCCCTGAAACACTGTTTCGTGGAGAATATCACCCTCCACCCCCGGAAATATTTGAAAGTATTACCGGGGAAAAGATAAGGAAATTTGCGCTCCACACAAACGGCGCCGCTGGACCCTCAGGGCTGGATGCAGAAGGATGGAAGAGCATTCTGAGCACCAGCAAATTTGGAAATGCTGCAAATGATTTATGTAAGGCCATTGCAGCATTGGCAAGAAAACTCGCCACGGAGAATTGCCAAAACCTCGATGCCCTAACGGCCTGCCGATTAATAGCATTAGACAAGAAGCCAGGATGCCGTCCCATTGGTATAGGAGAAGTCCTGCGCAGAATAATCGGCAAAGCCATAATGGATGTGGTGGTAGACGACGTCAAGACAGCAGTTGGAAATCTCCAGGTGTGTGTGGGTCAGCAAGCAGGATGTGAGGCGGCCATACATGCAGTACGAAAGATCTATGAAGATCCTAATTGTGAAGCAGTACTGATGGTGGACGCAGCAAATGCTTTCAATAATATAAACAGGAAAGCCACAATACACAATATAGAAATAAAATGTCCAAGCATTGCTCAATATATAAAAAACACATACAGTCAACCAGCAAAGCTCCACATATATGACAAACAGACAAACACATGTGAAACGATCGCGTCAAACGAGGGTACAACCCAGGGCGACCCAATCGCTATGGCAATGTACGCTCTTGGTCTCCTTAAGCTACAGGATCACATTAACTTCAGTGATACAAACATCAAGCAGGTGGCTTATGCTGACGACCTAACAGGTGCTGGAAAGATTACACACTTACAAAAATGGTGGGAAATAATAGAAAGATACGGTCCTCCTCTTGGGTATTACCCAAATGCTGTTAAATCTGTTCTTACTGTAAAACACGAACATCTGGACCATGCCAAAGAAATTTTCAAGAATAGCCAAATCATTATAACATCTGGAGGGGAAAAACATCTAGGAGCAATTCTTGGAACAAATTCAGCAAAAGCAGAATACGTTAAGAAACAAGTTTACAAATGGATACATGAACTGAAGTTACTAGCACAGTTTGCAGAAGTAGAGCCCCACAGTGCTTACACAGCATTCACATTTGGCATGAAACACAAATGGAGCTTTCTGATGCGGACTGTGCCAGGAACTGAACAATTATTTGAACCCTTAGAAGAAATAATAAGAAAAGAATTGATACCAGCTCTATCAGGAGGACGAAACCCCACGGCAATAGAGAGAGCAATCCTGGCACTTCCACCAAGACTCGGGGGACTCGGGATAACTGACCCATGCAGGATTGCTAACACGGAACACCAAAACTCCATCAAGCTAACAACCAGCCTAACCCAATATATCATAGCACAGGACAGCCTCACTCAACCAGACCAAAGCGAACAAAAAAGAACAAGAAATGAAATTTCAATAGCAAGGGAAACACAGCAAAAGCATGATCTACAAGAGATACTGCCACAACTCTCAGAAGAAATGAAAAAAAGACTTGAAATGGCAAGAGAAGTCGGAGCATCTAACTGGCTGACAACTCTCCCAATAAGATCAAAGGGGTTTAGCCTGAACAAACAGGAGTTTGTTGACGCTATATCCCTCAGATATGGATGGGCAATTGATGGGCTCCAACAACAATGCACCTGTGGCTCATCCTTTGACCCAAACCACGCAATGACCTGCAAGACGGGTGGCTTCGTCTGCATGCGTCATGACGAAGTGAGGGACGTGACAGCCCAAATGCTGGGCGAGGTCAGCCGAGATGTCAGGGTCGAGCCATCCCTCATTCCCACGGCGGGGCGGAACTTCTCGTTCCAATCAACAAACACCGCCGATGATGCCCGCCTGGACGTGAGTGCCAATGGATTCTGGGTACGGGGGCAGCGAGCCTTCTTTGACATCAGGATCTTCAACCCGATGGCAGCAAGCAACCGCACCCAAGAACTAAAATCGGCCCACGCCAAACATGAGAAGGAGAAGATGAGGGAATACGGCGAACGAATACGAGAGGTGGAGCAAGGAACTTTTACCCCCCTCGTATTCACCACCACCGGAGGCATGGCACCGAAAGCCATCACCTTCTATTCGTACCTCGCACAGCAGCTTGCAGAAAGAAGGCAACAACCAAAAAGCTGCGTCGTGGCATGGATGAGGTGCCGACTGGCCTTCTCGCTGCTCCGCTCATCGTTACTTTGCCTCAGGGGGACAAGGACCAAACCAAACCAATACACTAATATTAAGGATCTAGATATAGAAGAAACAGTAGTAAATAGTAGAATAAATAGAAATATGTAATGTATACATTTGTAATATCCTTGTATATAAAACCTATGTATTTTTTATTGAATAAAAATAAAAAAAATTAAAAGACGGATGCCGACCACAGCCATTGGCGAGAAAGGGGCCAATGGACTGTTTTGTGAAATAGTAAGTTAT